CCCCCCCAAAGAAAAAAAGACCTTGACTGAAAACAATCTGTGCACAACTGACTTTAGTGTGCGTGGGTATCTCCCACTTAAGTTCTCTCTTTAGAAAGTTTACATTTGTCACTTCAATCAAAAGTTTAATATAGATTATTCAAGAGGAAGTATCAAAAGCCTTTTCTGAGGTGAAAGATGAATTTGTGGCAGGATGCATTTGCTTTTTTCCAACATTGTTCTATTGAAATATTTCTTTAAGGCATATCAGAATTGACTTCTCTGATGATAAATGCTTGTTTCAAGATGTGTGGTACGTATAAATGCAAAGATAATTTAATTGGATATGTTGCACAACTTTTATGTATTAATTCTGGCTAAAATGGGTGTCATTTCAAGAAAATTTATTCACATTGTACTCAGTTTAGTATAAGAAATCACAAGATCTCGAGTACAATTCAGAATTTATAGGTACGAGTGATGTTTTGAAAGTTTTCAAAATTGGACGAGCCTTTGGGCTAAAGACAAAAAAAACTGCCACCTGGTTAGCTCAGTTGGTAAGAGTGTCGGTCTGTTGTCCAACACTCAGGGTATTAAAATAACTGAGGAGAGAAGGTGCTTCCTTTGTAATTACATCTGCAAATGGTTAGACCTTTAAGTCTTCTTGGACAAATACTYAAAACCGTAGGCTCTGTCTCCCAACCCTTCCTAACCTACAGTAAATGGGGGACATAAAAGAACCTGTTGAATTATTCGTATAAGAGTAGGGGATAGTCTCCCGGTTCAACAGCCTATCCCTGTCTGGAGGCATAAAACTAATGCACTAATAAATCACTCATGATTGTAAGCTGCACGGCTGCTAATAGCGCCTTAATATGCAGCCCATAAAGTCCTCCACTGCTCATAAATGTAAAGCGCATTGAGACAATATGAAATGCCCTATATAAGAAAGCCATTATATATTACAATGTAGAAAGGAATAGCACCATGTTTGAGCTGAAGGAAGCCTTTTATAGCCCCTGTAGTGTTAGCTCTAAAAACGGCTTGTCTCAGGGAGCTGAATTTAGAAGTCATTGGTGAAAAAATAAGAAAAAAATGCCCTTCATTGAATGTTTTGTATTCGAGGATAACATAATGCTTGTATACAAGTTAAACAATATTTCTATAATAGCCACATAGGAAATAGTGATGCACAAAAGAAAACATATTACACTATAAATTTGCTTGATTTTCCCCTTCCCTTGGATTATTTATTATGGGGTAAGTTTTTTCATCTTTTCACGGTGTATGATTCACCTTTTCATCATTACTGTTTCATTAGAAACACCGACGCAGCTCACACTAGTTTTTAGCTAGTTATATCTTCTGATTATTTATTATACTATCTTGGATTCAACTACAAACAAACAAATTCAGTAAAGGGCTTACCAATTTTTTCTTATACACTGTATTATCTTTGCGTATCACTTTTTTTTCTAAATTAGCTCCCTGCAGGGTTCAAAACATTGACTGGTCAACATACAATGTCTTGATATCTGGCCAAAATTAGCACTTGTCTGGCCAAACTCCTAAAAGGCCAGCCAGATTACTAACTGGTCACATTGACTTGTCACATGATGTTCAGTTTGATGCTGTCTGATCATCATTTCTGGACATTGAACCAACGTTAAGTTTAGCCCTGCTGCTTTTATTGTTGCCAAAACTTAATTCGATTACAATTTCATAAAATTATGTTATGCGGATGTGGATATAATCAAAATGTTCTTACCCTAAAGTTTGGAAGTCCTTGGTGGATGTGTGAGGTGAGAGAGAAAGCATGCTTGTGGCCCTTTGAAACAACAGCGTATGCCACTAGTGAAGCCATAAGCACGACCAGTGCATTCCTTCCTGTTCCTGCAATCCATATGATCTTCCTTGCAACTCTCTGCTTTAAGGGAACATCTTTGCTATCAGCATCAGGCCATTTTGTTCGTCCAAGGTAACGCAGGATCAACAAAATTATTATGCAAAGGGTCCCAAGAACTACATCCCATGGGTTAGTCTCTCCAATAGTTTTGAAAGTGTCGTAGATGCACTGGTAAAATGGACGTCTAACATGTTTTAATCCCAGTAAGGACTTCACTTGACCTATTGCGATGATTATTGCTGCTGACGATGTGAAAGCACTAATGACAGGAATACTTATAAACCGCACAATGAAACCAATTCTGAAGAATCCCATTGCAAACTGAATAACCCCGGCATAAAACGATAGTGCAATAGCAAATTTAATATTCTCTTCTGGACTGTTAGATAAATGGCAGTATTGGTCAACTATAAGTGACATGATAGCTGTCGGGCCGATGGACACGTCCTTGCTAGTTCCAAGGAAACAATACACAAAGCAACCCATGAATGCGCAGTATAAACCATACACTGGTTCCAGACCTGCAATCGTTGCATACGCAATACCCTGGGGTATTACCATTAATCCAACGGTAATGCCAGCAATCATGTCGCACTGAAGATTATGACATGTGTATCTGGGAAGCCATTGGGTTATCGGAAGAATTGTTTTAATAACTTTCTTGCATTTTTCATTCTTATGTCCATTAGCTCTTGTCCCTGAGCCAAGAAGGCTGACAGTTGGTTCCAGCTCTACTTTCCTGTTCCTAACTGAAGTCATACTTGCTAATCTATTAAAACGAAAACAATTAAAAATAAACAACTTAGTTTCAGTATAAATTGTTTCAACTGATGTCATTTTATGTCTTGTGCAGATTATGTTTGTCAGCTGAGTTTTTGAAGCATTATTTCCGGCTTGCAGCATATGGTGGTCAGAGTTTGACCACAATTTGAAACAGATAACAGGGCCGTAACTAGGGGGGAGCACAGGGTGCACGTGCACCCCCCCATAAAAGCTTAAGGTCCACTCATCCATCTCCTTTTTTTTTTTGGTTCTGCTTTCTTTTGGTTACCCTATTTTTTTGGTTCTGCTTTCTTAAAAGAAAGGATCAATAGTCCAATAGTCGGATAATGATTAAACAGAGAAAGAACAGATGATGATGAATTGTGAAGAAATGGGACTCCCATTCAATGTGGTCATCCAGTCTACTTAAATGTCTAACCATTTGTAGATCTAATTACAAAGGTACCACTTAATGGTTGCTATGTTGGATAACTTAATCAGCCAGTACCTTTCATATTTTTGACTGGTGACAGCAAAAAACCAATATTCAGCATGCAGCTCGCAGACACAGAGTTATGAAAATATTGCACTAATTCCCTAGAGTGAAATTATTTATATTGTTTTGCCATCTAACAAGGCAGCTGACATGCGTTGGTGCAAAACGAAACATAGTCAACTATTTTCTTAAGATGTGACAATAAAAAATATTTTCCCTATGCTGAACTCTTGTCCTTCGCCCTCCTTCTCTTATTCAGTTTCTCACTTAAGTGATCACACTCTAGACCTATCATTTTATAAAAGACATGTTTCTTAAAAGGTAATAAGATTATGCATCTTCATCAGGAACACATGATATTGAGCTAACCATACATATAGTAATCTATACTAAATCCTAGTTTAGGGATTCCTAGACTCAGTGTCTGTCCTGTGGTTTTAGGGTATTTCTCCAGGTTCTCTGGTTTCCCTCCCTCCACAAAAATCAAATCCAAGTACAGCTTGCCGTCTTTTGGCTGCATTTTGATCCCAAACAATATCCGGTTTGGTTTCGAAACTGCAACTATCTCTATAACAACACAAAGGAAAATCCTAAATTCACAGATTCAGCAGCAGCAGCAAATATGGCCACGTTTCATACATTTTGTAACATAACTATTGTAAGTTATTATACTTCAGTAAAAAAAAGCTTAAATCTAAAAAGCAAAACAAAGCCATATTTCTGCATTGTGTTTTGATAGGACACTACAGAAGCACAATATTTAGAAAAGCTTAGGAGAGAAATTCAAATTTGACCGGGAAGTGCGTTACCCGGGTAAAAAAGACAAGCTTGTCAAAAATCTTTACAACGACGACAATCAAGCTTGTTACGTACAGTCATGAATAAATATTTTGAAGCTTTTTGAAAAGGTACTTACATCTAAATCGAGGATCCTATCAGGTTAAAATCCTTGATCGAATAAAGCCGAGCGAAAGCGAGCAACTTTTTGAGAACAAAAGTGTGTGACTGACTGAAGGTCAGTCACATGAGGTTTCAATAGTCGCTCGCACTATTACTTCATGGGATAAGTAACATAAGGTTTCAGTTTAAAGTTTTGGAGAGCAATTATCAGTGTATTCCCTCATGAAGTAGTAATCTGAAAATATACCTAGTGAGTCTAGACAAAAGGAGGACTGAGTATTAGCGTAAAATTGACCGAGGGGGGTAGGGTAGGTAGGTGTTAAAATCATTGAAAAAATATATTAAAAAAAATAAAAACAAGCTTACTACAATTGCTAAAGCGTTTTGTTGTTATAAGTAGATGTAAAATGCAGCTTAGAATTGTAAGAATGTGCTTTTGTTTTAAATAACAGATTAGTTACAACTTCATTCAATAAATTTCTCATTGATATTCCCAATTTTTATTACTTTAATATTTAATTGGAAAAATACACTATGAAGTCTTTTGAAGTTTTTATGTTTTATTTTGACCGGTTTGGACAATTTATCGTGATTGTTTTTGGTTTGGAGTTGTTCGTTGTTGCTCGGAAGTCAAATCGTCACTCATCGCCATCAGCATATCGTCATTCGTAGCGCTTCGTAATTTTTCGTAGAGCTATCGGMAGTAAAATGCCCGTATGTACAATGCCGGTCTTGCCGACGTGGCGGTAAGCGATTTGAGAGGCCTGCGTCTGAATCAAGATACTAGTGTTTGGCTGGAATCTTGACTTGACTGTCCCTTTTTCCTCTTTTAACTCAAATTTAACTCATCTGATCGTAAAAATGAATATCTTCAGATTAACTGGCGACCTTTCCCATCTCGCTGCCATCTTGGCATTGCTGTGGAAAATCTGGAAGAGCCGCTCAGTTGCTGGTAAGTTTGAAAATCTGGGGTATCAAGAAAAGATCATGGCCGCCGGGTTGATCATAAACAAGGAACTATTATATGAATTCCTGTCTCCTGAAACACTTCTCTTCAAAAATACAGCACTCCTAGACTTCATAAACCCTGAGCTTGCCTAAAATAAAAGTATACTCTACCTAGAGGGGATTGTTTTGGAAATATTTTAAATTTTTTCTTGAGCTGAATGGAGTTTTTGTCTCTATTGTACACGTGTAACTTATTTATATCAAAGATAGAGTTTCGCTCCACTTGAAGATTTACCCTAAAACTGTAATAACAAAGCTTCCTTCAAACTGCAAGACCTGGCTTCGATTAAATTCAGCTGGCTAATATTCTAAAACACACAGAATCCGCTACAGGAACCTAGATTTCCACGTATGAAGTTTTGAATTTAAAAGCCACTGGATTCAAAGTAAACCTTTTCCAGTACTTTTGAAGGACACGTTTGTCAATGGTTTTTGGATTTAGCAGGATTTTTATCTCCTTAATAGCTACATTTACGTTTTATCTTTATCTATTGCTTGATTTCCTCTTAATAAAGTTATTTTAGAATAATTTAACCAATTTTTCCTGAACTCTTTCAATATATTTCCTGTTTACTAATATTAAATGATACAATTTTTTCCCTTCAAAAATCAATTTTTAATATACTATACAGTAGTAAAGAGTATTTGAACCCTGCTAAATTAACCCTTACGACTCCTGACATTAAACATGTATTTTTTCGGGTAATTGCAGTTGTGGATTTTATAATAACTTGATATTAATGGATTTAATTGTTTTATGATGAAGACTGTATCAATGTTTATGTAACGGTTTTACACAGCTGAAATCTATGCTTATATAACACTTATAAATATAAGGACTTCAGATTTTTAGATTATGTTTCTTTGGTTTCTCTCATTTGTATTAAGCTTAATAGATAAATAATTAAATAATAATTAACCTTATTTAAAATGAAAGTACACTTAGCAGCTAACTGCTAGTTTACAGTGTAGTCCACAAATTAATAAACTGAAATGAAGAAATGATCAAAGAAACATAAAGTGTGTTAAGAATCTGGCAAGGAGGCAAACTAGTTGGCTATTAACGAGCATGGCCAAGAAACTGAATTTGAACTAATCAGAAATCAGGACAAATACAATCTCAGCTAGTGACCACAGCGGGACTCAAGCCTGGCACCACTGGATTGCGAGACCGATGCTATGACCACTCAACCATGCTGCCTCCTATATCTATCTATTAAGCTATATCTGCCGATTAAAACACTGTATTTTAATTGAGATAAAATTGACAATATTGGGCCCTATTCCATAAACCAGGGATTGCATATGTTTAGAAATTTTGAACTTTTTAAACCAAAAAGTTAATGTAATGTGTACTTATAGCCATGGAATGGTGATGGCAAAGGGGGTGATAATGATAATGATGACAATGATGATGATAATGATGATCTTCAACAATTTCATGTCATTGAATTTCAGGTCTCTCTGGCAAGAGTCAACTTCTCTTTGCTCTGGTGTTCGCAACTCGTTACCTTGATTTGTTTACGACCTTTATTTCCGTCTACAACTCGGTGATGAAATGCATCTACCTAATTTGTTCCTGGGGTACAGTCTACCTTATGTATTTGAAATTCAAGGCTACATATGACTCTAATCACGATACCTTCCGATTGGAGTTTCTTCTTATCCCAGTTGCTGGTTTAGCATGCTTGGTTAACCATGAGTTCACCATCATGGAGGTGAGTTATTTGGTTTGAATTGTGGGGCTAATAGTAATGGCTGGTCAGTGGCTGGTCATGATGGCTGGCCTAATAGACCTTTCCTGAATTTCCTTCACTGATCATGAAACAATGGTTTCGAGTCAAGGTTGGACTTCACTAATAAAGAATCCAGTTCAGTCTCAACTTCAAACCATTGTTTCTTGGTCATCCAAGTCAATCTGGGAATGATCTATTAGTTTTAGCTCTGTCATACCTTGTTTCTTGCTCAACGTTACTGGTCAAGATGACCAGCAAGGTAAGCATTTGAGTGGACAAGTTCCAATTATGGCTAGAAATTGTCTGACGACCGCCCGTTATTCTTAGACCTAGAATCATAATCTTCATTTCATTCACCAAGCTGGAAGAAGTGTTTGTTTTTCCAGAAGTGTCTCTCAACTTGTGAATAACCTCTGTTTATCCTTAGGTCTTGTGGACATTCTCCATCTACCTAGAGTCAGTTGCCATTCTACCCCAGCTATTTATGATATCCAAGACCGGTGAAGCAGAATCCATCACCAGCCACTACTTGTTCCTTCTCGGCCTGTACCGTGCCCTTTACATCGTCAACTGGGTCTACAGATACTACTTTGAGGGATTCTATGATTTTATAGCAATTGTTGCTGGATGCGTACAGACAGCTCTCTACTGCGACTTCTTTTATTTGTACATTACCAAAGGTAAGAATTAGTACCGTCGTTGTCAACTGCAAGATAGGATGTAGAGTTCTGGGGTCTTGGGTTTGATTCCTGGACTTGATGTCACATACGAGCAGAGTTTGTGGCAGGTCTCCCTTGAGTTTTGAGGGTTTTTCTCCAAGTTCTCTGGTTTTGTCCCTCTGCAAAACCTAATCAGCTGAATTCCAATTTATTCTGTGAGCTAGCTGGCTAGACTTTGATCAGCTCAGAAGTTGTGTCATGATTTCAATAAAATTGTGTTCTTCTCTAGAAGAGCCTCAGGATAAATCCCTTGAAGCAGAGCAGAAAACCTTTTTCAAATTCATACAATACTGCTGTGATCTTTGATTATACACTTACTTACCCTTAGGCTTAGGTTGCTTAGGCTTACCCTAACCAACAGAGAACTCAAAACTGTAGGATAATGCTGATAACATGTGAGACAGTTATCACCTATGTTCTTAATACAATTTGCTTTTTCTTTTCAGTTCTCAAGGGCAAGTCGTTAAAGCTCCCCGCCTAAAGACCCTCAGATAGTCAGATAATCAAGTGCCTACAAGGATGGATGCACTTTTTGGAAATAAGCACAGTATTAAAACAATGTGAACTGATCCATGCCTGTAGGAAAACCGCAATATCTGTTACATGTATAGATAGGTACTCATGTTTGGAGATTTTTGTGCTACGACCAGTCAGTAAAGTCCTTGTTACTTGAAAGCATTATTTGTTTCTTTTGTCATCATACACTTACACTGAATGCATTTTCACTATTTTGGGACATGCAGCTCTATAAAAATGATTTACTAACTCTGATTGAAGCTATAGGTGTATGATTACAAAAAACGAAACAACACTCAACATGTGGGGGCGTTACTATGGGTTACATAACCTGTAAAATGGTTATGACAGAGAATAAAATTTATATAAGGTTTAAAAAAGATTTTGTGTGACTGAAAAATAAAATGACTCATGAAACTGTCAATTTAAAGAATTGATAACATATTTTAACCATTCACAGTGTACCATGAGATTTTCTCTGTCATATAAGATTTGCTCTTGTAATAATTTTGTTACAGTGTACATGGAAATAACAAATCTAGCAGAGTAAAGAGCTGGCTTGCTTTGCCTTTATGACAAAGGAAGAAATCCATAATTTATTATTGAAAATAACCTAATCCTATGGGTAGGAATTTCTTACCTCTAGGAGTAATACAAGAATCCATGTACACTGTACCAGAAATAAACTCTAAGAAATCATTCAGTGTTCTGTTATGTTTTACTTGCTACAAGTATATAAATTTTCCCAGTTCTAAGATTGTCTTTCTGTTAAACAATTAGGATCTACTTTTTAAAATTAACTGACTGATCAAGATTTTTGTCATGCCTACCAAATGTTTCTGATGTTTTATCCAAATCAGAAACAAATGGAATAATTTTAAGTCACCACCAGCCTTTTAGATATTAAATAAGATAATTAGTCAAAGTATAATGGTTCCCATCATAGTGTATTATTGCTGACTTTAATGTGTTTATGTGCAATTGTGCATTATTTGTTGATAAAAAAAAAGACAATTTATCCATTTATGAATTTTAAACCATTTTGCTTAAAACTTGAAAAGATGATGTAACAATTAATTTTAGGCTTAGATAACTTTATTACTTGTGATTGACAAAGTTACTGGAAAAATAAACCAATAAAATTTGATATTGAAAATTGGTTTTATTAATCAGTTGTTTTGAAGGTTATTGTCAGCATTGTGTCAATAAATAAATAATTATCACTTGTAATGCAACCAAATGGAAATATGGTGACCAATTTTGATAACTATTGTTCTGGACTGACAAGCGTCATGTTAACATCAGGTCCCCCTCTCATTGAGAACTCAAATTTTAATGATCACCCCTCCCCTCACAATAAAAATTAATTGACAAGTGTCTAACAAAAAAGGTTTCAAGTATCTATTAATCACTTTTTTTTGGTGCCCCCTTTTTTAGTGCACAAAAATGTTTGGTCCCAGCCTCATTTCCACCAGCCTCCCCCCATACTTATTAAATACTTCCTCAGCACAAGCTTTTGTTGATATAGTATTGACTTCAAGGTTCCTCCTAAACTTTCCCTATCCCCCCATCCCCTCCACTTCCCTTCCAGTCACTAATACTTTGTTACTAAAAATAACCAAAGGCCAGGTCGCTGAAATCCAAGATGGCGGACGATCACGAGTCGAGACTTGCATCGCAGAAATGCTTTCACGAGACCTAAGTTTCCTTTGAAAAAATACATCCTAGGTCTCTATTTAGATAATTAACGCCTTGAGCGCTCAGAAAGTCTCGGAAATTTCTGAATATGGCTTTCTTTTTGAGGAAAGTGGGAGGAACCAGGTTCGTAAAGGAGGCACATAGTGAAAGTACACTGTCTTCAGACACGAAGGAGAAACCTTCCATCGATGGCGTGTGGGGCAGTAATGGTAGAGTTTTTATCGCAACAAACGAAGGCAGACAGCTTGAAGTGACTGATTCTGTACCCCGTCCAAGATGGACTGAACGCTATTGTACAATAACAGAGTCGGAAGGTAAGTCTTCATAAGTGAAAGAATTTTGGAAGTTACAAATAGTCATACTTTTTGGTCTTTAGTGTATTTTTTTTATTATCGGAAATGTTTGAGGAAGGAGAGTCGCGTGACAATTGTAAGGCATCAACAAAAGATTACCCTTTTATCCTCTTCCATAATTTACTATGATTTACATGCATAATTAGTTTAAATTAATTTCACAGGTTGCCCTTCTTCACCTGTGGTCACTGTTTTACCAAACCCAAGCAATCCAAATCAGATATATATTATTCACAGCAACAGTGTCACAGAATGCTTTGAAAACAACCCACAGAATAGCCAATGGGCAAAAAGGCACTCCTTCCAGCTGAGCAATGCTAAAGGAGCTAGAATACTCTCAGCGGTTATACACCCAAATACCAGCATGTTCTTTTGGTGCGAAAAGCGAGCACCAACTCTAAGCCTGTCATCATGTTGCTTGTGTATGAGGGAAGTGCCGGAGAACTGGAGCACAGATGTGCCGTCAACCCTTGGTGCTATTGTAGTGATTCTTCACAGCTGTCCTTTGGTGTCATTGTTTATTATCAATAAAGGAATCTGTCTGGTTCCACATCTACCTGATGAGGACAATAGGCTGTTGTTTTATTGGACGTTTGTTCCAAGAGCATTAAAGGTGAGCCAACAATGTTTTTAAAAAAAGTTTGGCCTGTGCTGTGTATTGTGCTTTTACCTTATTGGGAAAAGTGTTCCCAGTTAAGACCTTTCTCTCTCACTACTATGAAGATTTGAATTTATTATGTGGTGGTTTACGGCTTAGCATAGTGGTTTACAGCTTGCCTCTCACAGCTGCGGTCCAGGTCCGGACTGGATCATATGTGAGTTGAGTTTGTTTGATGTGCTGTTCTCTCCCTTGCCACGAGGGTTTTCTCCAGGTACTCCGGTTTCCTTCCTCTGTAAAAATCAATATTTAGAACCCACAGAAGAGCCCTGTACAGGGAGTGGTGGTTGTAAAAAATTTTTTCTTAATACTTATTCAATCTTTATAAATTTATAGTTTAACTAATTTTCATTTGCAAAGCTTTATTTACCTCAGCTCAACAGATAAATTTCCTACTAACATAATTTGGTTCTTTCCCTGTTCTTTTCTTAGGCATGGATTTGGAATCACAATGCAGTTCTGGACTTGGACAAAACTGATTTCAAGTCCATCATCATGAAACTTCTTCCAATCTGGCACTCTTTCCCCTCATTAGAAAGCAACTACATCCTTGGCCTCACAACACATCCAACAACCTTAGAACTTTTACTTCTAGAAGACACTTTCAGCCTGTCATCTGTAGTCATTAAAGAAGGCAAGCCCTTGATTGAGAGACTTTGTATTCTAAGCATTCCAGACACTCAAAAGAGCAAACAAGTCGTAAGAGAACTATTTGCTCTGGGTTTATTCGTAGGGCTGGTCTGGGAATCTGGAGCATGTGATATTTTTGATTGCAAAAGTGGGACGCCATTATGCACTCTTACTGATCTTACTGGTATTAAATTAAATGTCTGGACATGTGCTGGTACTGTGCCTGGAATTGGTGTCTGGTCATCGGGAGGAGTCTGGGAAGTCAAGTCAAGCTATATTTTAGAAGTAGCAGAAGTTATTCAAACTGCAGTAAAACCGATTGAACTTGATTCTTTGTATGCTTTTGAAAATGAAAATCATATGGATATAAAAGACATTAAAGAATGTGATAAGCAAGCAGATGTGGATAATGACACTACTACATGCTCTGCTTGCCAGTATAACAGGGAGTTTTCTAGGAAATTATTACCAAATTGCAGATGTTTGCATCACAATGTAACAATGTCTGGGCCAGTATCGGCAATGGCTTTCTTACACGAGTGGGGCATGTTTTCTATCGAGGCAAAGATTGCTTTGAGCTCAATTATTTCCAAGATGCTTCTCGACAGCTCTGACAGTCATATTGAGCAAGAACTGCTGGAAAAAGTTGTCAATGGGACTTTTCAAAGCCCAGTCTTTGCTTTGACTTCACTTTTCAACCATCCACTGTACAAAGACTTGATCATCAAAGAAGTGGAAAACTTCATGGAAAAGTTTCAATGCAATGAAAAAGCTGATCAAAAATGTATTAAAACTGTATTAAATGCTTCTCTGTTTCCTTACCTGCAAAAATTCGTTGCTTTAGTGAAGACATTTGATGAGATTTTGAGAGATCCAGAAGCATTATTGCCATCGATAGAGTCAAATACATCCTCTATTGCTGCAGAAGCACGGGAGATTTTAAACAAACTCAATCTTGGGAAACCCGAGAGTGAAGCAGTGTTTAGGCTATACTTTCTTCATAGTCGTTGCCCAAAGGATGTTGTACAGGCACTGAATCATTACCTTGGGCTGCAGTCACTAGCAAGCCAAAATGCCAGCAACGTATCGTGGAGTCAGCAATGGAGAAAATTCTACAGGTCAGTTAAGATGTACAAGATCTATGACAGCATCATCAACCAAAAGTGTAAATAACTTCAGTAAGATTGACTTTATCCTGACAGTGTTTTGAATGAAATCTCCAATGAACAGCAGAACAGAAAATTTTTTTACGATTCTGGTTGACGTCGGCAAATGTTTAGACCAGAGTATAGATGTTTACTTCAAAAATACAAGTGACATGTGGGATATCCCATGTTGTACCACAAGAAAGCATCGTATATCTATTTCATCCAAGTGTACACCATTTAAAATATACCTAGTCAGCAATGCCTGATGGGAAGAAACAGTGGTATACCGCCAAATATACAACGGTTTTTCTGCATTTTTATTGGCTGGATTTCCAATGATGTGGGATAAACATGTGGACTTTATTTTATGAATAACTAAAATTTGCAATCAGAAATCATAATATGAATTATATTTGTTTGTATGTGGTTTTATTAACTGTATGTTTCGACAATTTACCTAAGGCCTGTATCAGTAAAATCATTTTTTTTWAAATTCTAACGCGTTTTCTTGGCAGACTTGAGTGGAAGGATGGACAGTGGCAGAAAAGTCGTTCTGCCTTAGACGATCCCAATAATCCATTCCTTAGTGTACTGTGCAATATGCTGTACAGCGAAGAACCTGATTGGTTGGTGAACGTCAGAGAGAGTGGGATGGCTGTGGTTAGGACTAAAGACTCGGATGAACGAGCGCAAGTAAGGAGAATACTTTTATTTTTTTTAGATTTTCTATAAAAAATGAGATTAGTCTGTAAGGAATATACTACGAAGGAACTACGAAAAAGATTCTGGTAGTAATGATATCGGTACGTTATAAGGGGGACTGAGAATTTACCTCTTTACCTTGGACGTAATGTTTTCCTATTTCAGACTACGTGTCATTCCMTAGAGTATCATTTCTTTGTTGAATGGTTGCACATGAGAAGACACATGAATATGGATGCAACTCAAACAAAGAATCTTATTTTGAAGAGAATGAGTTTCGTAGTTCCTTTTGTAGCCTAACAATAGACCCTTTTCGAGTTCCAAATTATCGCTGGGTTTCATGATTACAGACTCTTTTGCTCAGGCTAAGCCTCGAATCAGTGTCTAATTACTCGCAAATACCAACGGTAAAGTAAAGAATGCACAAGTTCAAAAATACGAACACTTTGAAACTTGACGGACCTTGACTGGAACACGTGAATATTCTTCACAAAATCGAGGCTTAGCCTGAGCAAATGAGTCTGTAATCAAGAAACACAGCGGTAATTTGGAACTAGAAAAGGGTCTATTATCTTGCGACAGCTATGGGAGTTTAAAGTTTTGAGAGTTCGAAGAAGAATCTGGCATTATCAAGACGTAATTAGGAGAACGGGGAATTGAGGTCAGGAGGATAACAAAACAAAAAAATTTCTTCTACATTTTTTGCTTTAAAATTTTTATAGGAACACGTGAACCACTTATTCTTGGACTGCCTGCCGGCGCTAAAAGTCGAAGCCAATCAAATGTCCACGCATGTCCATTCCAAACTCCTTTGGGCCGCTGGCCAAGAAATGCAGGCAATGCAGATTCTCTTACGTCACGAAATGTGGAGTCAAGCGTTGGACTTCTACGTATCTCTTCCAAAGGATACCAACTCCATTGTCTTGCTCTTTACCATGATGATCAAAGCATTCCTTCGCTGTGGTGCTCCAAAAGAGGTGTCCCTCAAGGCTCTAGGCTTGGTCCCCCATGGTTTCTGCTCGTATGAGATTTTAGCGATAATGCGTGAGAACGGGCCAAGGTGTGCTGAACCGTTTCAATCTTCTACCAAGATACTGACCATTGGTGATGTTCGGTCTTATCTTCAGAAATTCATGGGATAGATTTCTGAGCAAGGTCTGCGGTAAGCAAGGTGCATTCTGGTCTAGTTTGGGTGCAACAACACCATTTATGAAATGATGATAAAAATTCTAATGACGTTCCATTGTATCTCTTCATACTCCGGTTTCGAGTTCTCTGTTGCCCAGGGTTAGCCTCGATTTTGTGTAGAATATTCATGTGTGGTATTTCAAAGTGTTCATACAGTTGAAGTTGTGCATTTTTTACTTAACCGTTGGTTATTTGTGAATATTTTGAGGCTTAAATGAGGCTAACCCTGAGTGAATGAGTCCGTCGTCAAAGAAAAACAGCGGCAATTTCAGGATACTCGAAAAACGTCCATTCGACGAATCAAAACGTTTAGATACTCATTGCAATCGTTTTTAATTCTGCGTCTTACATAAAGGTTTCTCAAACATAGCCACAGGGAGCCCAGAGTATATATACATAAGATCAATATCAGATGCCATAGGGAAATTATATAGGAAAACAAAGGCGCGCGCGAAAAAAACGTTTTAGTGCATTTTCAATTGATTTTTTGCTCTTTCGCATTACCGAGGACAGTATCTTGACCTCGAATTAAAAAAAAAATTAATTATATAATTTTTCCGATTTTATTTTCACCATTCACTTTAATCTAAATTGGGCTCCCTGTGGCATAGCTAAGGAAGTTAATAAACCTTAATCCTCAAAAGCTTAATAAACCAAAGAATATTGTCATATATATAATCTTGATAGCAATGGAATTAAATTAAAGTGATAACATCAAAATATTATAATTTTCTAAAACGTTTGGCCAATCAGAGCACACGCTACAATAGGAGATTTTTAACAAATCTGCTGCTACTTTGAACATTCTTTAGAGAATGACATGATAAAAGAAATGGCGACCACGCTGGGTTGATAAAAAACAACAACAACAATAACAACAAAAAATACCGACAACCATAAAACAAAACACCAACAGTAAACGAACACCAACAACGAACAAAACGACAAAAACAAACGACCAAAAAAAATTTGACGCCAAAATCAAAACTCGATGAAAAACGAAACAAGACGACAAAGACAAACAAACAACGACAGCAAAACCCAATGACTACGATAACAACAACAAACAAACAAATATACAAACGAACGTTTACAGTTTAACCAACATGGCGGCCATGAAAAAGTATTATAGGATGGCCACCGGTTATCCGTTTATGAGCCCGCGTTGTCATGAGCCTTGTTCAGCGTGCTCCTTATCGGCATATCTTGTGCTTTGCTTTTCGGTTGATAGATGGTAGTCAGAGGAATGTCTTCTTTCTGTTACGTAGATATCATTGGTAATAGCATGAGAGCGAGGTCGGAAACCCGTCACTTTTTTGCCCGTAAACTGAGGCGAAGATAAATTGTTATTGTCGTCCGCCTCGCTGGAAACCTTAAATAAAAAAGATGAAGGTTATGCGGAAACTAAAATAATCAAAGGGTTTAACACGCCATGAACATGGTGTGGACACGGTCACGGAACTGCTAGACCAATTACATTGCGCGCGAAAATAATCAGCCAATCAAAATTCTAGAAAACATCACACTCACGGTAAGGCACGCATATGGCACCGACTTTTTCATAGTCATGCGAAAAAGATAGATTTCTTTAGTCAGCTCTCTTAACAGCAATAAGAAAAGCTTCAATGAAGCTAGAAAAATGATTATTTACTTGTATTTAGAGAGCTAACTAAAGAAATCTATTTAAATTTTCTCTTTAAGCTCAGTGAAATTGTATGGGAATCCGAGAACAATGTCCGAGCTTCTTGGTGACCGTAACACAGTCCAACACAATTTATACCACGTGACGGCTAGCGCCGAAAAGGTGATTTGCAAAAATAATTTTAATTAGTCAGTCGATGCCTTTTACGTTGTGGACTGGGAGAAAAACCAAATTCCAACGGGCAACTCGCAACTGCAAACTATTGGGTACTATTGAAAATAGACCTCGGCTCGGGCGTAATGTTTTCCCATTTCAGACCACGTGTCATTCCCTTGAAAATGAGATTCTTTGTTTGAGTTGTATCAATATTCATCCCGCAACCGTTATTTAAAATGGGAAAATATTTGCTGTAACAGTTGATAATTTCCCTCGTACCTTTTGTCGTAGTGATGGACTGTCAACATCATCACTGCTTTCTTCATCTTGACAAGGTTTCTTGTTTTCCATCTCTTCCTCTCTCCACTTCTCGCCGACAAATTCCCTAAAGACCTGAAGAGCTACAGGGTCGCATTCAGACATTGGAAAAGGACTGGACGATTTTCTCATATGCTTCATTCTCATTCTGTCGTAAAACGGAAATGACGCTGTCTCTCGGCTCTGACTAGTCATGCCAAGTCGGCTGGGCGAGAACTCAACGGTATCGGTGCCTTCGGAGTACATCTGAGCCACCGTTTCGAAAGGCAACGGTTGCATTGGCTTGTGACCATACGTTCGATCCAAGCTGAATTTATTCCTGCTTTCTAATGAGAGTCCGTTGTACGCAGGGATCACCTTTTCGAGCCATGAGTCAAAGCTAAGGCTTTTTCGGAACTGCTGATTCCTCTTATCCGTAAGAACTGTCGAGCTGTCAGGACTAAAGACGCAGAAATTACATTTAAAAATAGACAATGCAGTGTCATGATTACATGGCACGGGCTTCCTGCACTTTTTTTGCGGCCCAATCACGGGGATTCCCTGACGCATTCAGCTGGGGATTATAAAAATTGAAGCAACGGCTCTGAGGCAATCAAACAGCACGAAAACATCATCATCATCGAAACTCCACCGTAATCATCACCGTCGTTATTATCATCAACACCATTATCATCAACGACATCACCATCATCATCAACGGAATCTCCATCATCACTTCATCATAACTA